ATAACCCTGTGCTTTTAGCATTTAGATCTTTTGGCTCTTGTCATGCAATTTCTTAGTTGTTTATTTCTCCTGAATATAAAGCAATTTTGTAGTTCAGGACCGCGCAAATAATTACTAAGATGTGTTTGATCTTTTTAATTAATAATTTAGACTATTTGTAATTTCTGCGTTTGATCATTTAACACGAGTAAGTAATTAGTCTGCCCACGTTTAATTATTTTCAAGATGTTTTAAACTATCTGTTCGCTTACAAAGATTATGTGCATTTATAAATTATCAGATAGCAGTCATAATGACGCCAAAATGCTAGAAAAATTGAAATAGCGGAAACAACTTGGAAAAATATAAAAAATTCGTCATCTAAAACGATAGTTGCAGCACATTCAGAATTAAGTTTAGGGATAAAGCGAATAAGGACTTAGGTATAAAAATCATCACTGGAATTACTTCTAAAAGTCAGATTTTCTCTACGATTTTTCTAAAGATTATTTATATTAAAAAAATCCTTAAACGTGTCCTGTCTTTGAGGATCAAATAATCGAAATTTGTTAACGGAAAGATCAGAATTTAACGCTTTAAGTTCCTGCCTGTATGTAGGATATTACGCGGTTGAAATTTGATAATCACACGTCCATTCAAGGAAAATTTCACTTTCTGGAAACTTCATGCAACTTAGTAAGGAATATTTCCCTGCTAGAATGATTCAAAAGCAAGATGTCTTATATGTATTTTGTTTCACTCATTCTTTAATAGCTACTCTACTCCTGTTCAATTTCTTAAGCCTCCAAGATCTCCTGATTTAACACCCAATGATTTCTTTGAAATGCGAAGAGTAAAAGTAAAAATTGAATATCCGACAACTAGCTGCAATGCAAATGTAAGTCATATTTAGTTGTTTCACAAATTCATGCTATTATATTATTAATAGCTTGGCTAAAAGCGCCGGGTGTTTGGCTAAAAGCGCCGGGTGTTTGGCAAAAAACTATAGAAAATACACAAAAAAGTCTTTAGAGAAAAAAAAGAGCCAATCACACAATTGAACCATTTGTTTACCGAACTTGTTAGGAACAGGGTGTTAAAAACAAAGGATAGCGTTAATATTTCCACTTGAATTCCCACTGAATCACCATGAAGAACTAGAGAATCGCAAATAATGGATTCAAAATACATACAAGTTTTAGGTGAGAATTGTTTTTTGGAAAAGGTATTTTTCATTCATAATTAGAAAATGTGACATATTCAGATTTAGTCTACGAAGAAGTTAAAATAGGTAAAATTCGTCACATGTTCTTCAATCAGCATCACAGGTCATTTTAATTTTCAGGTCATTAAATTTTCTTTAACCGACTTAATTATCAGGAATACTAACTAAATGGACACCCTATATTTTCATATTTGAAATTTTTTACTTTTCTTTTAAATCAACGCATATGTTTCAAATATGTTTTTGTGAAACATATGATTTACAAAAAGTTTTGAATTCCTTGTACGTATCCTTTTAACAACAAAGGCCTATCGAACAATGCCCTATTATTGTGAGAGCCCTTTTAAGTTTGAGCTTTTGATTGACGAAATTGTAACTTTTATAAGTTCAAAACAGGGGCATTCAGCCAGCTGAAGATTCCTCACAAGTGGAAGTTAATTATTAACGAAGAAATTGTTGGCGCAATACACTCAACTTTATAAGGATGTTTCAGCAAATTTCAATAGTTTCAAGTACAATGAATAGCTAAAATACATAAATTATTTGATTGTCTTTTCGATCAAATATGTCAAAATTGCACATATTAATAATTTGAACAACGAACAACAAAAATCCTGTTGGCTGTTCTGTTGATAGACGATAGACATAATTTGTCACCGTTATTTGCAAGATATACAGACATCACGTTACTTATATATTACAATTATTTTAACAAAGGATATTTTGAATAGCCCCAAAAATTAATTTTTTAAGTAATACAATAGTTTAAAATTAGCGCCGTTAATCTATGAAATTAGTTACAAAATTATACTTTTTTCACTATCTTTATAGTACTTGAGCTCTAGTTTTTAAACAGACGTAATAAAAGACAATTTATACTTGGTTGGTGGTTTTTGTCAAAAAAAAGGCAGAAGGAAAATTTTATTTCAAGGGAATTTTCAAGGAAAAGGTACATTATTTGTCAAGTGTGTTCTTTTCAGGAGATGAGCGCAACTACACTTAGTCTTTAGTAGCTTTATATAACTTTCTTTAGGATATCGTGTGCCGTTAAATTATTTGTTTACATAAAAAATTTTAGGCGCTAAAATAATAGATGCAATTAAAAAATATAGCTGTAAAATAATCTTGTTTAATGTAAATAAGTTTCCATAGTATGGTCAATTTGCAAATGGAATGTCCTACACAGAAAATGATCTTTTATAGCTATCAACTAGCGCCCGTATTTTATAATCTGAAAGATTAGCTACTTATTTTATTGAATCTTTAACCTCTAGATAACTGTTGAATTAGTTTAACGAAAATTGAATAAAAAAATCATCGAATTACCTGTGTTCCAAAAAAACCACAATTCTATGAGGCAAGTCGGCTTATTTCTTGTTAGTTTTACATCTAAGTGTGGAACTTCATAAGAGCGCATTTTAAGCCAAACCTTCGATATGTCATTATTTTAATCGATTTTATAACTTTTAATTAAAGAAGCCAAGAATAACTAAGGTTCGAAAGAGCTACTAGTTTTTGATTGGCACGAATTGAAAATTTATAACGCTCATCTTGAATTTACAATTTTTCTTTTAAATTGCGGCGCGCAAGTCCATTGTTTCTCTCTGAAGCATAAAACATTAATAAAAAGTGTTCAATATTATTGCTCAGCTTGGTTAAATTCATGCATTCTGAAATGTTAATCACCGGTTCTTTCAGACCTTATTCAATCTATTGAAAATTGCAAAAAATTGGATTTTCGGTACATTTCTTATTGTTTGGTTGTTGGTTTGTTTAATGTTGGGAAACTTTGAACTACAAATTCTTGGCGAATTAATACAGCTACTATGGCAAATAAATCATTGTTTTGATAACTCATTTTACTTTAAAGGGGTTGACTTAAAGTTTGAAAAGTTTTTTTTTTTAAGTTGAAATCAGTTTGAATTTCTATTATGAAGCAGTTTGTTGAAAAACAAACAGTTTAGCTCTAGTAGAGTTTGAATCCTTCAAAATAGTGTTTCGTTTTCTAATTCTCTCTCTTTGAGAAAATTTGTTTCGGAGCAAAAAAGTAGATTGCGGTGAGGATTGAAACTTCAAAAACGATTAAAACGTTTTAGTTGATGATACATTCCGAGCGATTAATTCCATTGTATTTTCTATGGAAATGTTTGGCTGAGAGCAATATAACTCTCTTTTAGTCTAAAAACATCTACCCCCTGTTGTTCATTTGCTTTATATTCTATAGAATTAAAAATAAATACGTGACATCCATTAGCGACACATTCATTCGCAAAGTATCTAGTTGAAAATGTAATTTAGCGCTTTGCCAGGAACGTACTTTAAATTTAGAGTAGTTATGCGAAATATGCGATTTGAATACAAACAGTTGGCAATTGGTTTGTATGCCATTAATCAAGCGGAAAATCTGCATTCCGATGAAACACAATTTTATTTAAATTTTTTTCTGCTTCATTTATGTTGGATTGAAACCATGATATATCACTTTAATTTTTCTTATACACTATAAATGTAATTTTTGTAATGTAATGTTTTCTGTATTTTTCATTTACTTTCATTTAGTTGTCATTTAATAAACACCATTTTATGTATATAAATACTATATTACCCATTTATATAAGTACATAGATTTTCATGAATACACGATCATTTGAGTGTTAGTTAGCAAGCGTTATAAATAAATAAGAGCATAATTTAAGCAGCATTATACACTTTAAAATATGTCGTCTATTTGCTAGCAATAATAAACGTAATGTAACAAATTATTTGAACAATAAAATAAATAATTTATCTTTCACGCAAAAGTACTCAGCATGAAACAAAATTTACGATATAGGAAAATAAATCCAATCCATCTGTGGGCAGCCACACATTGCAACCAAAGCGCGAAGAATTCCAAATGTTCGAATTGCTTGATGCTTTAAAACTATAATAAATAAATCTCAATTACAAAATTTGTGATTCGTATTTAAGAAAATAGTTTAGGATTCCACATAAAAAATGTTTTATGTGACTCTCAACTGACATTAAGCCTTTAAATATTAATGCTCCAAAATCGGAAATAATGCCTAGTTCGTGTGAACGTTTAATCGATTTTTTTGAAGATGTCAGGTGTCCATGATAACGAAACGTAAGAATTTCTTTACAACTGCGAGAATTCAGCTCTATGGCATTACTATATTTAGCATGGAAGTCTCGATATTAAGTTTTTTGCTTCAATATGTTTTACAGATATTTTTATTGCAGGTTTGGTCTGAGCACACCTTGATAAGAGGCTTAAGAGATTAGCTGGACCTGCAAATGCTCAGCACCGGTAAGTAAATATTTTACACATGATTTGTGAAAAAGATTGATTGATTTGATTATTTCAACATCAGTTTTGCAATAATCGAGATATGAAGTTGTGTAAAACTGAACTTTGCGCCCAGTATTTTAATAACAACTAATTAGATGTTTTCGTTTTCCTTGATAATAAATCGTTTTCTCATAGTTTTTTGTTAATCAGGAGATAGGTACCCGTTGAAAGCGATTTTAGTTTCAATAACGAAATTAAATTTGCAAATATTGCCGTCGTTTTGTAAAAAGTTTTATGCGAAGCGGCCATGCAAGCAGAACCTGCAAAATGTGGGAGTTTCCGGCAATTTTGCTTAATTATAAGAACGGCAACAGGAAATTGGAAACATTCCGAACAAATTTGTCCGTGAATTTCATCAACTGTTCTAAAACAATTAATGTAGGTTTATATATTGCTTTGCACTGGATGGAATCGGCAAAATTAGCAAAGGCGCAATAACAATTGTTTACTTTTATAGCAAAGTGTATTCAGTAAAACAAAAATTACAATTTTTCCTATAATTTAGATATTAGCATACTAAAAACTGTCCTGAACAGTTCGACACCTTTTACATTAATACCATAATAAGGCAGCTGCCTCATTTTCGCATACCACGCATCGATTCTTGGATATTCTTTTTCCATGGGCACAACCACCTCAGTAGTGGACAATGTTGCCACAATATTAAAGTCAGCAATAGTCATACTATCGCCGGCAACAAATTTTCTTTTGTTCAAAATCAGCTCCAGAAGGCCGTATGCTTCTTGGAGATCTGCTTTCAATTGGTCCAGGTTTACTGAGTTGTCTTGGGTTAATACTGCTTTCTGAAAGTTAATAAATATTTTTTGTAGTGAAATAATGCTTTTGCGACATTCAGAGTGTAACAGAGGGAGCCTAATTGTGGAACATTTTAAGGAAAACACTTTAAGGAAAACACAAGCTAAACGCGATTATTTGGGGTAGCTGGAAGTGGAAATCTTAATTATTGGATGTTCAAAGGTTGGTGCTTCTACCATTCACAGAGGTTTTAGTGGAGACTCTCGGTATTTCGGTATTTTAGAGCAGAATGCCTTATTAGCTACGAATAGAATCGAATTAAACATTTGGAATAATTTGTTTATATGAACAATCGAATTAAATTGATTAATTGGGAGAAACATCTCGAATGTGTTTTGTAATTTCATAAAGGTCTTCATCTTCGAATTCACGTTTACGAGACGGTTTGTCGGCACGGATTAATTCAGTAAAACTTAAAAAAACTTAATGCAGCAAATGTATTTTAATTTAAAAAAATAAAATTGTGAAACACATTTTGTCATTTCATCAAGAGTTAGCTATATTTAATTCTATTAAATAAATCGAATTATTATTTCCATTGGGTTCAACTTACGTACTCTTTTAAATATTCTGCATTTATTTAGATAAAGAATATACTTGAAATATCGCACTAGAAAGCTGCGAAATACAGAAAATTTCATATAAATAAAACATTAACAGGTTTGTTTTGAGTTTCCAAGATTATGAAAATAATTTTTAAATATAAATTTTAGTGGAAAACATTTAGTAAGTATTCTGTTCGTAAGACCGTAGGTATCATGCATTGAATAAATTTTTTCGCGATATTAATAGAAATCCAATACGAAAATGTATACAGAATATGTCCGATAATAATATCGATGTAATTCGGGAGGAAATTTCGGATGTTTAAAGTAAAACGTTTCTTTATAAGCTCTTTATTTCTTTAATGTTCTTTAATCCTTATTTTTTTATTTATAATTTCTCTATTGGGGGCTCTTGAAGAGAAACGCGCTATTTTGAAATATAATCTAAACTATGATTTTGTAACTATTTTTATCAATAACTAGGTTTTTTTAAAGCGAATATTAGCTACTAGTTACGCTGAATTAGGTTATTTTTGGCGACATTGATTGTTTTCAATCTTCCAAGAACTGCAAAGAGCAATTTTACCCAAAATTCATAAAATCGAAAATTTTTTGAAAACTTCGCTTTTGCCAAACTTTTGCGAAACAGCCAAATGAGCCGTCAGTAACCGGTTTATTAAAGATTTTATAAGAAACGTGCATGCCAAATTTTTTATACACTCTTTCGCTCCTTCCCGTGACAAGCTAAAATAATTCCAATTGGTTTTAGTTTTGGAAATACATAGTTGAGATTTTTATACAACTTTTTTCACATTTCCCCCATACCTTTCATCGAAGGCGTCTAAAAAGTTCCGCGTAAAAAAAGTGATTTGAGAAATATTTATCTGCAATTATTATCACACAAATTTGCCTGTTATTTGACAATCCCGAATTTCATAGTTTAACTCAAACCGTTTAGAAAACAGTGCGGAAGAGCCATTTTCAGTGTTCTCCTTTCAGCATTTTTGTTTAATTTGGTTGGGATGGTTTTAATACCTTCTATTTGCATCTCTCTAGAATCAATCTACAATCGTTTCTGAGGATTTGGCTGTAATTTCAGACACCGTGTATACTGTATAGGATGAATAAATAAAATATGTCGCGCTAAAGTTCTTATCGCCTACGTCTAGCTTACTATTTCTGATAAACTCTTTAAATATGAAACTGCCAATTAAACTTAAACTTCTCAGCAAATTTTCCTCCAGCAGGAAAGGTGGATTATTATTCTTACTTACAATAATTCGCACTCCTCTTCCGAATAAATAGCCTGTGTCAAAATGCGCCATGGAATCCACTAAGGCTCTTTTCTGGATGTCTTTTGGATATAAAGCATCATCCGTTGCATATTTATTAACCAAATAGGAGTTGATGGCGTGACTATCCCAGAGCGTAAAATTGCCATCCTCTAAAACTGGAACTGTATGAAGTGGATTTTTCTATAAAAAATGAAACAAAATAAATCTGTTTAAACAGCAGGTCTTCTTCGAATGTAGAAACGTTGCATGTACTTACAGCAACAAATTCCGGCTTTAAATGGTCTTGAAAGTTGAATAAATCCACAGGAATTAACTTCACTTTATCCTTTAATCCCAACGCTGCAATTGTCAGTAACGTACTTCGAACTGGTGGACTTCCGAGTGTTGCGTACAATTTTAAAGACATGATTTTCCAGTATTTTACTGCAAACCGTAACTTTTGGAATGATCAACACTCATCCCATAAATTATTTACAACTATGTTCCAAGGTAGCGCCGATTATTGACCTTTGGAACACGTGTTGTACAATATCTGTTCGGATATTTTGATATGATATGTAAATACACATGGATATAAAAACGTGTTAAAATTGTACCTGTTTTAGTACAATAAAGAGCTGTGTGTGCGCATTTGACTGGTACCACTTCTCTAGAAGCGAAAGTACCTTTTTCTACTAGATCCAAATAGTATGTAGTCTGTGACTAAATCAGACATCGGTTCAGTGCTTTCGATATTGTTCAGTTTTCTTTAAGCGTCGGTATTTTTCCTGCCGAATAACAATCTAACTAGGATTAATGGAGTTATCTGCAATAGATTGTTATTCTGAAGCAAAAATACCGACTCTTAAAGGAAACCTCAGATATAAGAGTTGAACTGAGTTTCTTGAATCTGGTATTTCATAGAGTAGATTAGTTAATAAACATTTTTTTGCAATTTAATCAGTTTGATAACAGCAATTGGAAAACGATTTGTAATTATTCAGTTCATATTTTTGTTTGTAATTCTTCCATTGTTTCAACTGGGATTACAAAGTTTTTTATTAGTAGGTTTACTTGCCATATTAGAAAAATATAGAACTTTTCAAGCCATAAGAATTCTTAAGATTAAGGCCAATGTAAAATATAGCTGTCCACTAATCGAGTAACAAAAGCAATATAAATGCAGGACAATTTTAGAGATTTCGATAATAAATAATAGTAACAAAGTCCAACGGAATGCTAACAGCTGAGTCAATTCAAGGTTTCCTATATCCTATATATAAAACACTGATTAGATTAAGAGCGGTTAATGCTTTTGGAACGATTAAAAAATCGTCGACCGCCTATTATTGTATAGATAATATTTATCAAATTTAATTTTTTTTATTTTTCTAGTTCTGAAGACTTACGCGTTACCCTCATAGCTTCCTAAAAATTATTTCCTTTTTTAATGTATCTTATTTTTCGTATTTTTGCCAATCTATTTCTTTTTATTCTTTCAAAATAACACTTTAATTCAAGTAACACTTGTATTAATCCAATGCCTCTCTAACTTGAAACAATTTCAATAAATCAAATGCAATATTTTTTTGGAAAATTATTGGACACGCGATCAGCACGTTAAATTATGTTCCTTTTTTATGTAAAATCATTCAATACTACTTGTTCCAAATTTGAGATATGAAATATGACGCAAACCTGGCTTTTGATCATGATGGTGAAAGATCTTAAACAAACAATAATTAGGTAGTTTAAAAATGGAGATTCGACACTCAGCATGATAAGCAAATAAGTTAAATAAAATTCGTATGGAGCGATATTTTTTAGCTTGTGGGTTTCTCAGAAACACGTTTTACTAAAATCGACCAAAATCCCGAACTTAACTGAAACCCACAAGAGTAAAAATTTAAGGCTGATTGACTACGGAGATGGAACCAGAATGCAGAATGGCGATTTATTCAGAGGGATCTACCTTGATTTACCGCAAATATCGTACTCATAAGAGTGAATGAAATTCAATTTCGGGAAAATGGTCAGTTTAAAAAAATAATAATATAATAATAAGATATAAAAATTAATGCTCTTCTTTCCGTTCAAGAAAATCCTCGGGTTCCCATTTAGGCCGATCTCTAGGAAACTCGAAATGAGCCAATTTTCAGTGAGGAAAAGTCTAAATACCTCAAAATTTCTACCAAATAAAATCACAATTCTCCAAGAAAACCGAAGATGGTCTGGATGGAAGACCTGGATGGTCATTTAACTCTTCTACCAATTCATCTGCCCTGAAAATACATCATCCAGACACTAATGGACAGGTTTTGGCAGGTGCTACTATTTGGGACATCTGTTTTATCCGGATACGAAAACAGAATAGCCAAATTCAGTAACTAAAATCCCGCTCCATGAATTTTTTTTTTCTCACCACAAGTCTGAATCTTACAAATCTACGAATCTTTCAAATTTTGGTATATACGAGGAATTCGATCAAGTTCCAGACGCTCCAGTTTAAATATATTTTTAAATTCACATTAATAAAATTTGTTATGCAAAAGAAATATGTAGTTAATCATTTTGTTGTTAGCACGTATAACGTGTTAACGCATTACGTGATTTATTATCTCAGCTAATTCGTCTTCGCCTACACTTCGCACATTTAAAACACGTCTTGTACCCATATTTTTTGACCTTTTTTGACTTTTTATGACTATGATAATAATTTCTGTATAAATTTAAACAACTTCCATTTGTCCTTTTCATACTTTAAAACTCCTGTATAATTTATGAAACATGTAAAAACATATTTTTTGTTTTAAATTTTATCGCGAAATTGAATCGTCAAGTCTGGACTAAAAAATGATGAACACTTTATTAAAGGCGTTTCTTAAATTAATATGACCTTTATTTATTTGGAAACTGAAAAATACGTATTTAGAAGATACGCTTTGACCGAGTTATTTTATGTTAGTATAGGCAGATTTTCTGAAGAATAGTTGACAATTACTACGCTTTATAAAATTGATTCAGATACCAGAAATTTTCAAATGCCACATATTGGCAGTCCTGGAAGACCCAGTTTGGGTAGAAGTTACTAACTTTTTTTAAATTACATTGATTAAATAATTCTGAGATCATTTTTCTTTATTGCATTATGAAATATAATTTTTATTAATTCGTTATACGTTTTGAACCGCGGTAGATAAAGCGTGTTAAACTTTAAAATCGAAATTACTGCAATTGTTTATAAAATGACTGTACGCTTTTTCCTGTGCCTACTCTTGATTTGTGGACAGCTTTTTGAAACACATAAGATTTACAAACTTTCAAGTTCCCAAGCGAGACATTTTTCAAATAATCTAAGTAGTAGAAGCTAACAATTTTCAGTGCCATGTGGCACAGATAATTTGTCTGTCGTAACTTCAGATTCACCTTGTACTAGTGCAAGCAATTTATTAAATAAAACTCCAATAAGCGCTGATTTTGAATGCATTTACTTTGAGAAAACATTTTCAAACCCATATGCACTTAGGCAAGTTTCTTGCTTAAAACCTCCTTGACTTGCTTTAACCCAGCAGCATTTACTTTCGCAAAATACGGCAGGGATTTAATCGTTTGGTACCATGCCAGGACTTTGTCATGTTTGCCGGGTGTTAGCGGTAAATAACTCGTCGATGACGATAAAGTCGTAGCTATGCTAAAGTCAGCGATAGTGAGCTGAGAGCCAGCGACGTAGGCACGTTTTTCTAAAATTGTATTCAAGTAAGCATATGCCTCTTCAAGGGGTTTCGCTATCTGGGAGTCTACACTAGTGGGTGTTGGTGAAGTAACAATTGATTTCTAAAAAAAACTGAAAATTAAAGACCCATTTTACAAAATATAACTGTGGAAGCCTTACTATAGCAACGTCGTGTCCTGCAAATAAAAATCCAGTATCAAAGAAGTTCATTGCATCAACTAAAGCCCGCTTTTTGGGATCTTTCGGATAGAGACTGTCAGTTTTTCCATATTTGCTCACTATGTAGGCGTTGATGGCGTGACTGTCCCACAATATTAAGTCTCCATCTTGTATTGTTGGCACTTTTTGAAGCGGGTTAATCTGATGTAATAATGAAGCAAATTATTGTATATCAGGAGAAGCAAAAGTGAAAAGGTGCAGAAGTTTTTCCAAATGATTAGTAGCAAACATTCAAAATTGTAGAAATTATCTAACTAACTAACTGAACCATAAATAGTTTAATAAATAAATAGATGAGGTGTGCCGAAATCTTAATATATTCAACATATTAGCACTTTGGTCTGATGGTAATTTGCAGACTGATTCAAGTTTCATATTGAAAATTCAGGAATTGGTAGAACATGTTAGAATCAATTTTCTATATTATGATATATAACTTTTCTCTAAATCACGACGTTTCGGAGATCGAGAACGTTAAAATATTATACGATCTTTTTTCGGTTTTCTATTATACGTTTTGAAGCACTAATCCGATTTAAGTGAAATTCGGAACACAATTGCTTCTATTGATCTTTGTTCAAATACTAGCTTTTACATTGGCGGCTTTGGCTTCTAGTTTTCCATTATTGTCACAAAAAGAAAATATTAAAAATTAAGTTCATTGGCGTTTCAAAACACCAAAAGAAAAGTTTTTCTTTGATCATTCACTTTTTATAGCAAAACAACGGTTTTTTTCCATAAGAAAACCGCCTTAAAAATTCTTCTAAACTTCACGAGGATTACAAAAACTTTTTACACGAGTATATTCGCTTTGGTCATACTCAATCTATTCCGCTATCTTTAACACCAGATAATAAAATATTGTGTTGTTCGTGACGCGAGCAAATCAATTGAGAATTGTATTGTATTGAATGGAAGCGTCATCCGGTTTTTCCTTGAATTATATCGTCCTCAACCGCTAGACTCTTTCTAAGAAGATTTAAATTCACTTTAGCGTATGATATAGAGAAGATGTATCGTAAGTAACAGCTTTGAATCAAAATCACAATTATCGGGTCGCATCAGGAGCTATGTTATATCACCAATTATTGGAAATGTGTAAATCAGAAAATTTCAATTTACCCAAATGGTCCTCTATCTCACATCATTTTTTTCTAATTGAGGATGTCAACTAACTACGACATAAAAGTTGAAGTTGCAGCAATTAAAGTTATTGGCATAATTTGGAAATTAAATGTATTTGCAGTATCATTGCCTGCTGATTTTGAGCATATTTCCTATCCAAAAGCGAGGTATCAAAAATAGCACTCATCCTTTAGGTCTGATCGGCGCTGCAGAAATTTTTAGGCGAGAAAATTGAAAGTCTACCATCAACGGGAGTGATTTCCTCGCTGGTTCTCTTTTTTCCCAATAGAACAGTTATTTCAATAAATTCCCAGAAATGCGATTATTTAACATTCGAAGACATTTTCTTCATTCTTCCAATGGATCTGCTTGTATTTTTCAACTACGTGGATTTTGTGATGCTAGTAGAAAAGCTTACGGGGCTTGAGTTTACATTAGGGCAATTCATTAAATTAATTCGGCTTCATTTCGACTAGTAGCTTCAAGAAACTGAGTTTCATCTCTAAACGAGTTATGAATTCCGCTTTCAGAGTTATGCGAAGCTTTGTTCCTCTTCAATATTATCTTTTTGATGGCAATTTGTGACAAATTCTGAAATTTTCGATTCAATACATTTGTGCCAAAATGCATCACTGAAATTCATGGTATAACAAAACGTTTTTAATTATATCATATTGATTCTAAAATGAATGCAGCACGAAGGACCACAAATTGTAGTGGGATTGTTAATTTCTCACTACATATCTTTTTAGTGTAGTATTTGAGCGATATTACACATGTTCGTTCAGTTTTAACTACCTACTTTTACAGGTGTATTTTGTGTGCCATCCCTTTTCTTTTGTTGCTAAAACCTCTAGAACAAACAAATATTTCAATAAAGCACCTACACAGGTCTACCAACTGGTTCAATTTGAAACTTTTTTATCTCCTATTTTTTTAAATTTTATCTGGTTTCTGAATGTTTTGATTACATTTGATACAAGCGGCCTACTCACGTAAATTTGATTTAACATTACAGCAAACCATGAAAACTCACAACTATTTCTATAAACTGACTTTTGTGCACAATATTTATAATCCATTTATTGGACCAGAGGTCCAAATGGATTCGAAAAATGCGGGAAAAACTTATTTCAACACTTTCTACCTACGAAACAATTCTAACATGGTTTTTCGATTCCTGACGTTATCAAGATTAAACCTAAAGCACATTGGAATTGTATCCAACTTTTTCTTTACTTACGGCTGAAAAAGCTGCAGTTTGCGTGCCTCCATTAAGCAAGTCCACATCTACAAACTCCACACCCTTCAATTCTAGAGCTTCGATAGTTAGCAACACGGCCCTAACACAAGGGCTGATTTCAGCTCCGTAAAGTTTAAGGCCCATTTTATCCCCTAACGTTTTTAGGTTTCTATTGCTACTAGATTTTTACTAGAATGAACTTCAATTTATACTCTTGTCAACCACGTTCAGGAGCGTGGTCATGCGAAACCCCTAGTCTATCTATTGCCTAGAATTTGAATAGTTTAGGTGCAAACTGGTATTTTAATGGGCTTGAAAAAGAATAAATTATAGATAAGCGGCTTTTTTTACCAGTTACGTATTAGGCGATAACGTAAAAATTAGGCGTAGTAACTAGTACAGGAGAGTCGCAAATGCGTCCTTATTTAACTCAATTGCATTAATGAGTATTCAAAAACGGGCAAATTATTAATAAACTCTCTTATCTTCGAAATGGAAGTTTTTCAAASCTCCAAAGTTTCTGAAGTTCGAATYGGCATGGAAAATTGAACGCTGTTGCAGACGCAACTTGGAATTCTGCGAATYAAKCGGGTTCTATACTGATTGTCCGGAAATTATCGTTTGTTGACTGAGAATATTTAATAGTTTGCAGCCTCCAGTTCGAAAACTCCAGGCAAATTGAGCTTTTGACTTGCTTACTAGAAAATACACTGAATTTTTCACTTAGAAGTTTGCTGTTTTTATATCACAATTCAACGATTTTTCATGCTAAGATGAGATCTTTTTAAAATAAAGCTCCTCCAGTACTTGCAAGGAAATTACAATTACTTTCCGGTTTAAGATGTTTCTCCATATTTTAAGCGATTTCATGATACTTTAAAGGATCGGGATCAACACATTTTTGCCCCTTTTGAAAATTTTAAATTTCTCTTTAAAATGCAACTCCCAACATTGTTGTGCATCAAACTTGAGAAGCTCTGKAAAATCAGACCATGCACTAATAGCAAGGAAATTTGAACATCGTTCACTTTTCAACTCGTTCTAAGAGCTGAAAGCTTKCACGTTTTTCAGTAAAACAGGGCTGAAAAGTTCTTCAGTCTAAGACTATATCAAAACCGATTGCAGGTAGTGGTGGATTAAAAGTTTTTTTTCAGAACTACTGTGTTTTAGTGTTGTTGCATATTGGTTTTTGATTGATTTGTTTCCTTGGTTTGGAAACTTTGATTTTTTTCATAACGTGTTAAATATTTTCAATTGTGACATTTTAAAGGTTCACCAATTGCAAAAAAACGGCAGGCTTATATCTCAACACATTTTTTAACATATCAAATTTTTGAGTTTGAAAACTGACTTTAAAACTCGCCCAAGTTCAACTTGCACAAGGATCATTTTACTATTTTCCTAAATGGCTTCAAAAGAAAGCAATTAGGGATGTCAGGCAATGATGCAGAAGTATGAATGAAACTCTGGATCATTGTTGCAATAAAGAAACTTTATTTAATGCCATGCTGTATATTATACAATGGTTTATAAATATCTGATCGTTTCAAGAATATTCATAATTATATACGTTTAAATATAATAAACAAAGTATTTAACGTATGTTGTGGTTGATTAGTGACCGTGATGATAATCAGTAATAAATTTTTCAATAGTGGGATTTTCGGTCAACGGATGGTGTCAAAATAAAACACTACTTTTTTATGGGCCAACGTTTCGACTTTATTCAAGTCATCCTCAGGGCTCTAAAATGGAGAACAGAGACTCTGTTTTATATCATGAAAAAGTAGTGTGTTATTTTGCCACCATCCGTTAACCGAAAATCCCACTATAGAAAAATTAATTACAAAGTATTTAACTACCTAAATATTTTATGATTTCCCCAAGAGTAATAAATCCAAATAATTTCTTTTCTGTTTCAACGCCTAAGAAATGAGGCTATCAATGCATTGCACTCAGCAAGTCCTTCTCTGTTGGCTTCGTAAAACGGAAGTTTTTGAATTCGCTCAATGTAGGATTTGATATTCGGAAAATCGGCATAGGGAACAAATATATTCCATTGTGTAATTGTGGATGTAAAGCTAAAGTCTGCAATGCTTAATTCGTTGCCTGCAATGTAGAGGCTTTTGCATTGTTCAAGCATTCGCTCGACTACAAGAAACACTTCCTTTAAAGTTTCCAATTTGGTTTTATCTGGTTGCACACCTCCACCAAAAACCAGCGGTTTCTAAAACAAACACGGATTCAATGAGTTACAGTTGCTTGTTCGATTTGGATAATCACTAGATTTAATTGTGGCAAATGCGTTGTTGCTAAACTGTTTTTTTGTGTGTTTTCTTCCTTCTCTCGAAGATTATTTATATAAGATAAGTGGCTCTGCACGTAAATTAAGCAAGAAACGAATTCTCTTCTGCTATAGTAAGCGTGACGGAATATTTGTATATTCAGTTGGCTACGCCATTGCTTATCTACTTAATGTAAGTTTTGGATATGGATCGGTTTAACAACGCTAATATTGTCAGAAGAAAACGGTTGACTGAAATGTACTGATGCTCTACTTAAAAAGAAAGCTAGATTCAAGTATGAGAATTTTTAAATGGATATTTTTGTGGTTTGTGCTAACTTTGGTTCGTTCGAATTCATTTGAGTTACTTAGAATTTTCATCAAGCAGTGGCAAATATTGGAAAACGGTTTGTCAGAAGAAGTTTTCTGCTCATCATAAAAAAATACTGTACAGGGTTGCGAACCTTAGATCCCTTGTTTTATTAGATTTGACACATTTTGAATTTTTTTTTCACACAGAGGTAGTAAATTTATTAAAGTACGTTAAACCATCAACCTTCAGTCATTTATTACTAGTACTTGAAAATATACCAATAATAAACTGCTTTTTCTTCCCTAACTGATTTTATGGGAACTATCAAGCCAATCGGAAAAGGTTTTAGAGCTATACATTGAAAATGAGTATTAACTAGTGGTCGAAATACCATGGAAAACAACAGTTTCATTAAAGATTAAATAACATTAAAGCATCTTGCACATTTTTCGATCGTCCTCTGTGTCAAATTCTTTTCTTTCACTTTCCAAAAATATATGGTGTACCTTTTATAATAATGAGGATTTCTGTTTTTTTTCGGGAATAAAGTTACATGTGTTTTTGGTGGTCTATCGTTAATAGTCCAAAAGTTGTATACATTTGACCACACCGTGTATCAATACTTACAACTATGTTCACTCCTTTTACGAAAAATACACTAGAATCGAAGTGTAGTCGATGATTAATTGTAGCTCTAACTTTACGATCTTTGGGATTTAACGAATCATTCTTTCCATACTTATCAACTAAATATTCATTTATGACATGACTGTCGGTTACAATAAATCCATCGTCGTCTTCGAGTACTGGTATGGTATGGCAAGGATTTATCTGCAAATGTATTTACGTGTAGTGTTTTTTTATAAACTGGCTCTGAACTTAGCTGATTAAGATATATACACAAATAAAATATTTACTGTATCCAATAACCTATGCCCCGAATGGAAATGATAAGAAGGTATTCTTTATTGATTTAACACACTTTTAATACAGTTTTTTTTTAAAACAAATTGATATATTTATTTAAATTACTTCAGAACAGAAATAATAGCTGATGTGTATAAGTTGCGCCTTAAAAACGCACATAAATGGAGAAGAAATTAATAATTATCTTCGTTTGATATAAAAGTTCAATCTTTTTCAATTTTCATCAATTTGTTCAAAATCCGTAAATACGAATTATGCAATCACAAGATTTTTTTAATTCCCAGTAATTCTACGTGACACTGATCTATTCTAAATATTCTGATTAATTCTACTATTGAAAATATCTAAAACATTCAGATATTTTCAATAAAGTGATGCACAATAAAAACAATAATTTACTTTAAATTTAGAAGAAAATTAGAATTATTAACATCCATGAGAATTTCCAAAGTCTTGATTGAATAAACAGAATTGAAGATGCAGACTTAAATATTTTTGGTGTCATTTTTGCAGTTAAATTCATTAAATTGCAGGTTGTTGAGAATTTTTTAATATCATAAAAATCATACTTATTAACATGGAATACAAAAAGCCGCGATTCTTAAATTCAAAGCTTCAATATTTTGGAAAAAAACATATTTGCTTCAAAAATAAACATCTTATTTAAATAATTTGCCTACACGTGAAACAAACCTTTTATTGTTTTATACAAAAAAAAATTGTTATATTTGAAGAAAACACTTAAAAAATGAATTTTCACCCAAGGTAGTCTCGGCTCAGATGGGCTACTTTGTACATTATGAGTTTTCTATGTACCAAGTATTAACTATTAGGTTTGAGAGGCCTAAATAAGTGAATAAAAATTGCCAAATGTTGAGCATTGTAACCCATACATATTCTCACTTACCTTCATGAAATCTTCTGAAATTTGTTCACTAGCCACTAAATCGATAGGAATCAATTTTAGATCCACCCCCAATGCTTTTGCACACATTAAAACTGCCCTTGTTGGGGGACTGATGATGCTACCGTATAATTTTACTGCCATTTTTTAGCACTACTTTTACACGTGAAGTATTGAGAATAATATTCTTGAAAGTTCCTGGTAGCGCATTTATAAGCCCTGTACTGCGTAAGATGGACTTGTCATCAGTGTAAAAACTAATATAAATTTTGTGATAACATTTGATAACCAATCAATAACATAGTTTAAAACAAACTGCTTTTTTTCTGGATAATATAAACTATAGCGAAGCGTGCACTTTAATCGATAATAATAATTTATAAATTTTAATCTAATTGGATTTCCTAACAATAAGCCATGTGTAGGATTGTTGAAGTGATTAATATAGAAAAACGCATAATTAAGGTTATTTCGTTAAATTAATAGCGACATAAAAGATAAATGGTTGAAAAACGCATCAGGATATACGATATAATTAAATTATTTAGAATCAGCTGAAAATTCATTTTTATGGATGAACGTTTAGATTAAATATGACTTGTTCTAAAATATGATTTTAATAATGGCAATAATCAGCAATAGGAAAATTAAAACCATTAAATCTTTTCCTTAATAATGTTACGAAAATAGGGTTTATGCTCAAAAACAGGTTAGTTTAGGTGGTTACTTAAAGTAACTAACTAGTGAAAAGGTATAATTAATCAGATTTAGTACTCAGCCAATCAGTATTTCGTTAGCTTCTATAATTTAATTATTGTCCATTTTGTGACTGATTCTTGCTGTTCATGTAACTTTATTGTTAGATTATTTTAAAACTGAGTGTAAAAAATATCACGTATTTTACCTCACAAATAAGACATAGTCTGATCAGCTCGACTGATAAGAATATTAAAATATAATCTGATACCATTTCAATTGTTTTTCCATATCTTTTCTCTTTGGTGAGCGTTTATATTTTCTGTAAAATCAAGTAATTTGAGCCGCCATCCTTAAGTGCTAAAAAATCCTTTAGGCAGTAGATGAAACAACAATCTTTCTAGCTAAGAACAACTTTTTTCTTACCAAGTGTTAGACAATAGTATTAGCCAGAAAAAAAACAGATTACGGTTTTTGACTTAAAGCTAAGCCCAACGAACGGGACCTAATAGAATCGAAAAATAATAGTTGTTCTACATATTGATTATCTAATATACCGGCCCTTTGGTAGGCAGATGCACTCCTTGCAGTGGGTGATAGTGCAAATAATTTTCGATATATTTCGTTAATAAATGTTCCGAAAACACATAGTTTCCGATATACAGGGTGTTAACATTTTAATTATTATTTTTTATTTATTAATATTGCGGAAACCCTCTTGGTATATTTTCATGAAATTTTATAGCCTTATGCACTTAACAGCAATACATGTTTTGTGATAAAAAATTTGTTTCAACCTTTTCCAGTGGCGTGGGTACAGGCACGTCTGTAGATAATTTTAAATACTAAAATATTACGCCACTGATTTTTTAAACAACAAACATCTTGATTCAAATTGCTATTCATATTGGAAGAGAAAACGTATCTTGGCTTATTTTTCTACAACGCACCGTGTTTGAGTAAAAAAATTAAAATCGATTTATTGCACAGCGTAATCGGGTTTTTATTAAAAAGTTGGCTCTGCACTAGTTTTTGTCACTGATTGACAAAATTTACAATTTCTGCCATTTCGAGTGTCTAAGTAACTTCACTTTCAACTTCCTTCCTTTTTGCGCTTTACATAATTTCGAGTAAGTTCACATTAGTTGAAAACTTTATTTGTTGAAATGGCTGATTTTTCAAATGCTGAATACGCAGATATTCTTTACATTTAAAACATATACTCTGGGAAAGACATTTTAACAAAGCTCGATAATAACATTTTCATGAACACCATAATAGACAGTCTATTGTTAGTACATTTAATGTAAACATTATCGTAGATGTTGTGCATGTTCACTAATTCTTCAGAGAACTTTTCAGATGTGTTTTTCAGAGTTTTTTAAGCCTCTGTATTCGTGTATTTGTCACAATTTAAAATTAATACCAATAAAAGATATTGAATTCTACACAATTTAAGTGCGTAACTGATATACAGTTTTTTGAATATATTTGTCGTTTTATATAACTAACTACTTATATACTTATATATAACTAACTTTTTCAAAAGCTTTTGCGTTTGTATATCCTGATGTACGAGACGTGGTCGCATATAGGCCTGGGTAACACTGTGTTGAGTTGCGATATTGAGTTGTTGCCGCTCTTAGTTCACGCGTTATAACTCATTGGTTAATGAGTTATAAGTCATTTATTACTTACGAGACCCGAGACTGGAATTTTCACATCTAAAGAAAGGTCATCAACATTTTTTCTGAGCAACGTTTTACTACTTTGTTCAAACAACTGACAAAGAGTCACATAGATTTTCCCAGTAACAGAACTGAGTCCAAAGAAAGTCGACGAGTTTTCTTATAAAATAGATCTCTCGCAACTTTTGGCTGAAAAGACCCCGTTATTGTAAGAAAAGATGAAAATCATCAAAAAATAATGTTTTTTGCGTTCTCGCGATTAAAAACTTTTCGTTTTGTGATCGGTTTTGGAGAAAACCAATGGTTTTCGGGGAAAACGGGAGGAATTTATTTTCGTTTATATCGCGAATTTGACGCTGAAAAATGTTTGTAAAATTTTTACAAAGTTATACATTTATCAGATCGTCAGTATTTTTAAGTGAAATTCGAGAACGTTTTTGAGTAGAAGGTAAAACAAAAAAAATCAGTCAAAACTAAAAAACATTTTTTTTAACAAACTCTGCAGAGGTATGGAGGTGACGAGATTTTCAAATAATCTATTATAAACTTTCGCGTATTGTGTGCGTTTTTTGATAGAAAATTATTTCATTTTTGTTACAAATTCGAAGCCGGAAAGGGATTTCAAAACTTTTTACAAAGCGAAAATACTTTAAGATTTTCAGCATTTTTAAGTGAAACTTTAGAAGATTGAGCATTTAGCAGAAAGAATAACCTGGCTAAAACTGGAACATTCTGAAATTTTGAAGAAATTTTAAAATATTCTTCATAAATGGCCCTTAAAAATAAATCTAAAAAGGAGTAAAAATAGTCATCAGCCTCTTCCCAGCAACGGAACTGAGTTACTGCGCCGTTTCGTTGGGTTGGCGCATCAAGCCATTTAGGTAGCTCTGCGCCAATTCCTAAAAATTCACTGTGTTTCCCAGGCCTAGTCGAATATAATTATGAAACCTCGAAAATTTCGACAAAAAAAGCCAGACGTAGATGTTAACTAAAACTTATTGAATTTATGTTCCATTTGTATAATAAACATCTAAACATTCTGTAAATAATTATTACTTGACACAGCAGACAGACTAAATTGGCCTAATCTATTTGAAAGACACCTTAGGAGTGGACTAGTTAAAAATAGAAGAATCACCTAATATCAACAAAAAAATATTTTTATAATGCTGAAGCAAACGAAGAAAGTAAAGTTAAAAATCGCCGCTCAACAGAATGTTTTCGTAACTCTGCTATGACATTTTTTATATTTAAACATCTGCCTGCAGACTAAAATATATTTGATGGACAAACATGTTGAAGGAGACTATGCCGGGAAGGGTTCAGCGTTGTCACAAGGGAAAATATAATTTTTTATGCCTCATAAAACAATGTTTTAACACCTTGAGAGTAGTCGGAGAAGAATATAGATATATTTTTGTTAGGTAACAAAGTATAAAACTTCTTTTCTAATATATGCGTAACGCAATCGTTTTACAACATTCATATTTAATTAATTTTGCTAGTTTTTTTCATATATAACTAAGACACATGAGAATGTTTTTCTATACCATTCACCCTTTTAGTGATTTCAATATAAAAACAATCTTTTGAGAGCTCCAGAACTGCTGGCTATTGTTTTATAAAGTTAAAATAATTCACCAAATTTTTTTTTCTAAGTAGTATCACTGCTCACTTTTGGTACAAATAACTTGGACAACCTGGTATATTAACACTGCCGGCTGTAGTATTTTATCCTTATCATTTGTTAGGCTTGGTCTAATTGTTGCGAAACCGCGTTTATCAACAAATTTGCTGAAATATTTCAGTTTTATAGAAATTCTCAGTTTTGGAACGTACTTTCCGAAAAAGTACGTTGTTGAAATAACTTTATTACATAGGTCGATGTTTTTCAAGTAATATCTAAATTGTTTTTAGTTCATTTATTACAATTAAATTTTATATGTTTAGGATTTTTGACAAAATCAAA